ACGTTTCAGGACAAAGTTTGTGTAAAGAAAACAGTTTGAGAAATCTTAAAAGTTACAATTCTTTTCTTCTCAATTCCGTTGCACTTTTTTATGTTTCTCACCTCTCAGAACTCGGTTATTTATAAATCGATTTAGAAAATTTTATTTAAAATTGAGATTAGTCGTATAGAAATTTTATCAAAATCATAGTTTGGTTTTAAATCAAAATATTGGTTATGCAACTATTAAAATCGGGGTTTTTTTTTGTGAAACAAAATCAATTTTTTTTTTATACAACTTAGAATGGCAAACAAGCTGATGGCCCACCTGATGGAAAGTGGTAACCGTCGCCTACAGACATGAGCAGTACCATGGACATAACAAAGTATACTGTTTCGCCCATGATACTCCCCCTGCGTTGCCATTCCTGAGGACTCAGATGTTATTCCTCTGTACCATGTAAATTCACTACCATATCCCACCCTTCAAACCGAAACACAGCCATGCAAACACAACTGCTTCACGGTAGAAACACGAATGGGACAGAGGTACCCAAATCAATCGACTTTAGTACAAAGTCTCCCTCTGGTACTTGTTTTATGCAGTAACTTTATAAATGTATAGGACTTTAGAGCCCATAGAATCTAAATAAAAGTTTCTGTTCAGAACACGTTACAACCTTTTTAAGAGTCTAGACTCTCAAACTGGATGTAAAACGAAGATGTTAGTATGGAATATAAAATCTAGGGAAAAGTGTTTAAGTAAACATGTTTATTGATTTATTTATTCTATGTAAACTAAAATTTATTTTGAAGTCTATTTTTTGTTTTTACTGCTCATCTTAGTTATCATGATAACTCAGGGTATATTACAGTATACTATGCTTTTTCATACAATTTAGAATGGCAAACAAGCTGACGGCCCACCTGATGGAAAGTGGTAATCGTCGCCTATAGACATGAGCAGTACCATGGACATAACAGAGTATACTGTTTCGCTTATGATACCTCCCATTCGTTGCCTGAGGACTCAGGTGTTATTGCTCTGTACCCTGTAAATTCACTGCTATATCCCACCCTTCAAACCGAAACACAGCCATGGAAACACAACTGCTTCACGGTAGAAACACGAATGGAACAGAGGTGCCCAAGTAAACGACTTTTGTAGATAGTCTCCATTTACAATTTATTTTTGGAGTTTAAAATAGGGAAAAGTAAAATCTCTTATTAGCTCTTTAACTTTAAATAAAATTACCATCAACTGTAGTTAACTAAATATAATGCCTCATCAATTCCAATAGTCTTAACTATACATCTTAGCTTATATTGATAACTCAGGATACAATAATATGTTATAGTATATATACGTGTATATAATTTATGATTTGGGATAGATGCCTCATTAATTTCTTCATAAAATGTCACAAATTTTTGCAAAACAATATCCTCGAATACCGATTATTCGCTGCAAAAATCCCACCTTATCGAACTAAAAAATAAAAATTACTCACACTGATTTCCCGAGAACAATGAATAGTTACTTTTAAAAGAACATAACAGTAAAATGGGTCACACAATATACGAAATACTTTAACGCTGGCTCGTAAAAACACGTCAACATCCCAAAGTGGATGCTGGATCTTTAGAGCAGCGCCATCTATCGTCGGTAATGGTAAGTTTTGACGTCAACTAAGAGTAACAAACAGCGGTATTTTTGCACTTCGAACTTTCAGAACTAAATTCACATGCAGCTAAACTGCGACCGGACCGTAGTAGATATGATAGGTGATTTTAAAACAAGTTTGAAAAGGAGAAGTTTCTCAATTCATCCACTTTTTATAAATATATGTTACGATTACGTCGATAATTTTTTTAGATATTTTTTTTATTTTATTTTATTAGGCTTTATTATTTTACATATTAATTTTGTGTAATTAATTTTTCTTGTTGAATATTATTAGTTCTGAAGCAGTCTAATTGTAGATAGCACGATATTGCGTTTTAAAATCGATTTTGTTTTATACAACTTAGAATGGCAAACAAGCTGACAACCCACCTGATGGAAAGTGGTAACCGTCGCCTATTGTCATGAGCAGTACCATGGACATAACAGAGTATACTGTTTCGCCCATGATACCCCCCATGCGTTGCCATTCCTGAGGGCTCAGGTGTTATTTCTCTGTACCCTGTAAATTCACGAACATTTTATCTTACGATCAAAATTTTGAGCTTTTAATATTCAAACAACACGTCAAACTGATATGGAACCTTTAAAACGTTATAATTTTGTTTTAAATTTTTCCATTGACGATTAAGTCAATGTGCTGCCAATAATTTGGAGAGCACTAAAATGAATTTCCTGAATAGCTTAACTGTTCTCTGTTGAACATAAGTTTCTCCTTGGGGGGGGGGGGGGGGGGGGGGTTGCCAGTAGTTGTCACGCAGTAGTTGGCAAGCGGGTTGGCCTTTGACCGTAGTTAGTTTTTGGAGATATTTTTAGAGGGACGCTACTGCCCATCCCTCACTCTCCCATAGTCGCCTCTTACGACACCTGCGAGAAAATAAGGGGTGGCCTATTCTATGCTGGGACCATACGGGAATTTCCAGATATTTTCACAAAATATATATAAGATATTCGCGCCAGCAATATTTACCTAACAGCGAGCCTCTTTCAAAAATCTCACGAAAAGAATTAATTAAAACAAAATAAAATAGTTAATTCACAAATAATATTAAAATTATTATACGATAAATCTCAGCGCTCGAGTGACGGTAGGCGTGACCGCTGACGGGGACAGTGTCAAATGGACCCTCTTTGTCATAGTTCCGGAGTCACACCCTGTATGTCGCCGACTGATGACGTCATTTTTCTCAAAAAATCACCCGATAGTAGGGGGCTTGCTACAACTATAATATTTCCAGAGAGTATTGTACCTTTTAAATAGAGCTGCGGATATTTTTAAGTGGAGACAATTCAAATGCAACGGTAATTACGTTGCCTAATTGAAGTTTTAAGTTCGATTCTCGGCTATTGTTTTTGGAAACGAAGATTTTTATTTCGACTCTGACTGGACCCTGAACTTTGTTATAGTCACACCTTGTATATCCCCGATTGATGACGTCATTTTTACCAAATCACAGAATAGTGGGGTTGTCCTTTAATATCAGTAGAGAATATTATAATTATTGCTATAATTATTTTTAAGTAGAGCAAACCTCCATAATAAATGAGGTTCCGGGTTCGAGTCTCGGTTATGCTAATTTAAGGAACGAACTTTTTTATGTTAGCTGAGGTTCACATGTTCTGAATTGTAATCACAGTTTTAGGATTAGTAGTGTAATTGTTCTGCAATGTAAATTAACTGATATAATTATTATTACCAAAGACACTTGATGTGCAACTGCGATTCGTTGGCAAGTATGCGTATGAGTCTACTGGGGACGGCTTATCCAGAACCAGGGGACTACAGATATCTTAAACCGCGGGATATCGTAAGGTTAACACATAGGATCTATGAAATGATGGTATAAGGCAGAGGGAAGGACAAAAGATCCATATGGGTCGACGTGCATCGGTTTAGCTGACCCCATATGCGAAAAATAAGATAAGATTACCAAAGAGTAATGTAAGTATATAATATAAGTTTGTATGAGACGTGTTATTATTCGATTTTATTTAGAAAAATTAGCGAATGAGGTTGTCCTGAAAAGGGTGAATGAGAAACGAACATTAATAAAAACAATAGAGAATAGAAGAGGCAAAATGCTAGCCCACCTTATACGATATGACGATTTTTTAAAGAGCATAATAGAAGGAAAAATAGAGGGCAAAAGAGGAAGAGGAAGACCGAGGAATAACTACATGGGACAGATAAAAAGAACACTAGGTGTCATGTCGTATGGGGAGGTCAAGGATATGGTCTGGGATAGAACTGGCTGGAATAAGATGCATGAATTAGTTGCACCGACAAGAGGAAACTCTTAAATGAAAAGAGAGAGATTCTATTTTATATTATGAATCATTTATAATATAATTTATGGTACAGAGGAATAACACCTGTGTCGTCAGAAATGTCAACGCACGGAGAGTATCATGGTCGTAACAGTATACTCTATTATGTCCATAGTACTGCTCATGTCTATAGGCGACGGTTTCCACTTTCCATCAGGTGGCCCGTCAGCTTGTTTGCCATTCTACGTTGCATAAAAAAAAAGTAGAAATAATACGTTATTAAATTTTCCTTTTAAACATAATAAATGTTCGTATCTATCTAGACAACTACCAGAGGGAGACTTTGTACAAAAGTCGATTGCTTAGGTACCTCTGTCCCATTCGTGTTTCAACCGTGAAGCAGTTGTGTTTACATGGCTGTGTTTCGGTTTGAAGGGTGGGATATGGCGTGAATTTACTGGGTACAGAGGAATAACACCTGAGTCCTCAGGAATGGCAACGCATGGGGGGTATCAGTATACTCTGTTATGTCCATGGTACTGCTCATGTCTATAAGCGACGGTTACCACTTTCTATCAGGTGGGCCATCAGCTTGTTTGCCACTCTAAGTTGTATAAAAAAAACTATGAATAGAGATTGATGAATTAAATTCTAAAAAAAAAAAATATTCAAAAATGCTTATTAAGTTTATTTAAATAAAAAATATTTATTATTATTATTATTAGAGAAATAAAATACGCAAGACATCAAATTTAACACAACCACTACAAAATATTTTCTACAACACAAATATTATACTACAAAATAAGTTATTCCAATAAAAAATGGTATATAATGGTTTTGAAACTGAATAGTTGATCAAAAAAGATTGGCAATGATAATTAGGTGATAGGATTGGGAGCAATAATTAGTGATCAATGATGATTAAAAGGTATTATTCGCTAATGAAGACCAACGGTGATCAAGAGTGATCAGGAGCGATCACTAGTGATCAGACTACACTCTACCACATGCAACAGTGATCAGGAGCGATCGGTAGTGATCATACTACATCTACCACATGATCTCACCTCGTAGCCCTGCTTGATGGCCATGGCGCCCCGTGGCCGTGACCACGCGGCATATTCCAGGCCATCTTTTTGTTGGCAGTGCTGTTGGACAAACATTTCGGTTAATTTGTGATCAATTTCATCACACGATTTTAAAATATTATTAATTATAGGATATTATTTTAATTGATATATTTTAATGGAAGTCATATATTGAATTTTGAATTATGCATGTTCTTAAAATAATATTATGTGTTATATTAAAATAATATATTTTTGTATTGGAGAAATTTAAAGTATTTTCTTCGATTGACTTCAAAAGCTTCCTTTTGAAGTCAATTCTCAATTTGATTGTATTTTTTTTTTATATTTGTTACCTCATAAGTTTGTCAGTTCTAAATAGATTTGGGAAATTCTTTTTTTATATGAAAGGATACATTTGCAAATTGATTCTATGGAATTTTTTTAATTATTAAAATCGGCTCAGTAGTTTCATTTTGTAATAGAAGTAACTAGTTTTAACTAATTAAAGTTGGTTTTATTCCTGAAAAATTTTAGTTTGTGGCAAAACACAATTTTTAATTAGGTGTGCTGCCGGCCTTTTTTAAATAATTAAACTGCTGCTGGATTCCAAATTTCCTGGAAGAAAGTGCCTTGAAAAACGCTAGCCACTCGTCCAGATATATCATAATTAGCTCATTCTCAAATAAGTTAAAATATATTGTTTTTTAATTGTATAAGAATAATGACCACTATTTGAGATGATTATATTAGTGTAGTTGTAACTAAACTCTCTGACTTTTTATAGGACTGAAAGTGAGGAGATACGACAAACCGTCTTAAACGCGCAGACTTGTGTCTTTTTGGGGTTAAATGGACAAGATTTTGACGATCCTTGAATGAAGTTTCGAATCAGTCTATTGGATGCATGTGCCCGCGAGATCCTCAGGACCATTCCTGCATACAATGAATATTACTTATCTGTAACATATCATTGATATGCAGAAGAAACAGAGTCGGAGATAGTACACAGCCTTGCGGGACACCAGCATTCAAAGGTTTTAAATCAGAGCATGCTCCGTCGACTAGATAATGGCTGAGATGACCCAAATGCACGATGCGCAACCCAAATGAGAACTGTTATTGGGTTCCAGCTCGATCTGCCCATCGGTGTGTTAAGTAAGCTAAAAGATCACCGGCCGAACGTCCCTGTGAAGCTGGCGATAGTACGAAGATGAGTTAATGAGACATTTCGTTCTAGCATTTACAATATTAGAGCAGTCTTCCAAAAACAATAAAGAGCCAACTCTGGAGCGCACGTCCTAAGCACAATTGGAGGAATACCAGCCTTATGGATTTGCTATGCGTGAATTTAATGTCAGGCATAGAGCTCCTACAACACGTGATGGTCGGTGGTGAGTCATAATCTTTGAAATGGTCGCCTTTTCCTTACAAATAGCAATAATTCTCTATTATTGAAGACTCTAATGCAATTTCTTCGTTACATACTGTAGTTATATGGTATGTGTATGTATCTCTGAAACGATTTTTATATCCATGAAGCACCACATCAGCAATGGAATTGGCAATGGCGTCGGGATCATATAAAATGTTATCCTAAACCGTGGAACGTGGTGGAATCGGACTCATCTCTCGCTCTAACGTTGCACTGGGTGGGTGTGAGCAGAAGGTCCAACAGTGAAGGTGAATGGTCCAACACATCAGGTATTCGCGTAGGCGTGACGTCAGAAGACGTATATGTATGTGGGACGCCATTGTGGTGGGCATTAAAATCGCCAAGAATCACGACTTCAGCGGAAGGAATCTGTTCGAGTTGAGATGACGTGCTCAATGAATGTTACCGCTGTTTCTCATAGACGCGAGGATGGTCATTTTTTTTCACCTTGGTCGCGATCCTCTCTGACATACGCGCATACACCGGCACGCGAAACAAAACAATGTTAGTTTATCTACGTCAGGTATGAAGTTTCGTTTGGAGAGGATATTTGTCTACTAGAAAGAGCAATGCCGGCCGCGCCGTTTCTAGGTGGTGGTGGACAGCGTTTAGGTTAGAATGTAATCCCCTAATATTGCAGAAGCTCACATTGAGCGAAGGGGATGTAGAAATCTTGTCCGTTTCTTGGTTAATTCAGGGCAGCCCGAATTCGAGAATGAAAATTTTATTTTTTTTTAATACGTATAGGGGGACGGGGTTGGGGAAAAAGATAGGAAAGGGATGGGTATGGGATGTGTTCTTTGTTCATTTTTACCTGAAAGTGCAACCACTTGTCGGTATTCTGTGAAAGATTCATGCTGCAATACCATATGGTATTACAGCCTAGCCTAGATATATCATAATTAGCTCATTCTCAAATAAGTTAAAATATATTGTTTTTTAATTGTATAAGAATAATGACCACTATTTGAGAATTATTAGTGTAGTTGTAACTAAACTCTCTGTAGGACGACCCCCTTACTCGCAATAGATGGAGTGACGACCTCGAATGCAGGGAGTCAGTGGATGCAGGTGGCTCAGGACCACTCCTCACGGTAGTCTATAGGGGAAACCTATGTACAGCAGTGGACAGATAATGGCTGAGATGATGACGATGCGAGAGAACTGTTATTGGGTTCCAGCTGTCTGCCCCTTATGAAGCCTAGTACGAAGATAGAAAGACATTTCGTTCTAGCATTTACAATATTAGTAACAATAAAGGCTATCCGAAGAAAGCCGTGCTACAATTCTAGTAATCTTTGAAATGGTCGCACAATAGCAATAATTCTCTATTATTGAAGACTCTAATGCTTTCTTCGTTACATACTGTAGTTATATGGTATGTGTATGTATCTTGAAACGATTTTTATATCCATGACCCAGCCAACATATAAAATGTTAGTCCTAAACCCGTCGGGTCTCTCGCTCTAACGTTGCACGTGTGAGCGGGCCAACTGCAATCACGTGTGACGCAGAAGACGTATATGTATGTGGGACGTGTGAAGGTTTCAGGAGCAGTTGAGATGATGAAATTTCTCTAAAGTGATTTTTTTTTCATTGGTCGCGAACATTATTATTTCTACGAATTGATTTTGTTACTGGCCACTTTAAATTTCCTTATGTATTGTGTCTTAATTCGAAATTCAAATGAAAATTTTATTTTTAATACGTATAAGAAAAAGATAGTTTACGTGTTCTTTGTTCATTTTTACCTGACTGCTAAAGAAAAGGTGCTAATGTTTTTATGTTATATGTATGTATGCTTATGTTTGACGGAACGGGCAAGCTTGATGGAATGATATCTCCGTCTGTGCTAATGGTATACGCTGGCGGGGAACCAGTGAGGGATGATAGGTGAGGATGAAAGGGCAGGTCAGTTAGCCTATCGTGATGAATACACTTGGACTTCGGCTTGATGGTTTCCAGAGGAAACCATGTAGAGGTTGACCTGAAAGCCCGTATTACTTACAATCCCTGCCCCCCAGTGTTTGTATCTATGTTTGAATTTTGTTTTTTTTTATATACCACGAAGGTAACAAACAAGCAGCCTGTAGCCTATGGACGACTGCAATACTAGGGGTGGCACATGCGCGTTATCGACCCTATCGATCGAAGAAAACTTAATCCACCTTTTTTTAAGAACGCCATCTCTAGAGAAAACCTCGGCAAGGAACTCATTCTACAGTGTAAGCGTTTGCGTGGGGAAACTACTCTGAAATCGCATTAAACACAACTATTTACGTTCTACCTTGTGAGGACAAATTCCCTGTCGATGATGATCGATGCGATACTTAATTACACATAAACGGCTCAACAGATTTGAATGAAATTTGGGACACGGGTAGGTTATATTTTACATTAACATATACGATACTTTGTATACTGATTGAAGCGGAAAACAAATAGTTACTAATATAATTTGTTATTTTTTTTATAACACAGGGTTGCTCCTTGTGTTGCAAGCATACGGCTTAACTGATGGTAAGTGAATACCACCGCTCATGAGCTCATGGTATTGTAGGTATACCAATGGAACTGGCAAGTATGTTGCTGGCCTTTTAAAAATTAATAATAATAATAAACTCTTTATTGTGCATAATAGAGATGCAAACAAGGAGTAATTATACAGAATGTAAAAATACAAAAGGCGGCCTTATGGCTAAAAGCAATCTCTTTAATCATTTAAAAGGAATATGCTCTTTTCTTAAAAGGTTACGATATTGTACCGATATTATTGGACTAACTGTGTACAAAATTTCATTCTGATCAGTTCAGCTATTTAACAGTGATTGAGTAACAAACACACAAACATCTGAACACCTTTACAAATTACACATTTGAAAATATTTGTAGAACTAACAAAAAAAAATCTAAAAAATCGTCTCCACTCAATCTCTGTGCGCAAGAAAAACCCGCGACACAAGTATTTTTCTTGACTTGCCCGTGTGTGTGACGTGTACGTGCATCGTGTAGCCACAGCGTTGCATGTGTGCGTCTCTCGGATAGTAAAATATTATGCTGTCGGTTCTTGAAATAACATTGTATAGATAATCAATAACAGTGCTGTATTATGTTAAACTATAAACTCCTAAAGGTCTAAGGTTCGATGTGGATATTCCTAAGGTATACATTTGGGGGGAAAGGGATCGTTAGCAATGGAGTTTGACAGTCCCATTGCGGATTCCCCCTGGAAACCATCGTGAACAATTCTTGTTGAATTCGTCACGATGGGCTAACTGACCTACTTCATCCTCATCTATCATCATTCACTGGTAACCCGGCGGTGTATACCAATAGCGCGGATGGGGTTACTATTCCATTATCATCCATTAAAAAAAAAGGCATACATTTAAAGTTGTGTCCAAGATAATCGAGTGTAAAATAATATTATTAACAACTAGCCATTTTTCTCGGTGGTTGAGAATGGAATGGTAACTCCGCCTGCGCTATCGATATATACTGGGCACCAGTGATAGATGAGGTGAGGATGAAAGTAGATCAGTTAGTCCATTGTGACGAATTCCATAAGAATTAACCACGATGGTTTCCAGAGGGAACCGCATACTTCCTCCAAATACCATGTTTTTTTTTATTTATTGTTATTATT